ATACACACATACACACACATAATTATTATAGAATATTAACAGAATATATTATATATACATACGTATGTACACATATACATACATATACATACATATACATACATCCACAGATAACATTTTTATTACCATAATAAATATAAATTTACTAGTTCAAAGCGTCCGTTTTCCACCTCTTTAATTAATATCATTCATTTTTATCATTTTCTTAGTTAAGCTGTAAAGAATGGACTTTGTAGAAATTAATAGTCTTCACGCGCGAACCGAAGTTGGTTTTAGCCCACACGAAATTGGGAAACTCCAAGAACTCATCATTACCATTCAACTACAGACTTCCAGGAAGGCTGGTAACACTGATTGCGTTAAGGATGTCATCAATTTAAAAACAGTGACTAAAGAAGTACTCTTCCACGTGGAAAATAAGAAGTATAATCTGATTGAAACTGTTGCCGCAGACGTTGCACGTATTTGTGTTGTACGACATGGCGTTCAGTGGGTCAAAGTCAACGTTAAGAAGCCAAACGCGTTGCGCTTCTCTGATTATTCATCAGTGACTATCGAACGCTGTCTCAATGATTTTGAATGGAATGTCGTCCATGTATCTGTTGGTTCAAATATCAATCCACTTCAGAATATACCAAAGGCATTGGACTTGTTGAAGGAGAAGGCAGAGATAACGGAAGTGTCTAAGGCGTTTTGGACAACACCTATGGGCTTGAAGGAGCAAGATTCTTTTGTGAACATGGCTATTGTGTTGAGAACCAAACTTGATCCTGAAGGGTAAGATAGATTCTCAAACTCGTTAATAATTCATAAGCTTAGCAACCAATGGATGGGCCCTTTTCGGATCACGTGGATGGGTTTTTAAAACCCAATGAAAAACCATTTTCATCACTAGTGTTTGAAATATTTTCATCTACATATTTGTCGTGGGTGTCTCAAAACAGCTAGAAGAGTTTCTCATCCACTTTCTACACATTTCTCTATCTCTCTCCTCTCCATTGCTTACTTTTTGTACTTCTATCTACTTACGTAATTACATTTTTCATAATGAACGAAACAGGAGAAATGGTATTAGATATAGAATCGAATGTTTTGTAAAGATTTGTATGGGAAAATGCACTGAATGGCAAAAGCTTACCAGCCAACATCTTTCTCATACAAATCCTTGTAAAATATATTATCAAACTCATGAATAATGCATGAGGAAAACAAAACAGAAATCACGACCGGGAAGAGTGTTGTAAATCTGATACAAAACTGTGTTCATTTGCATAAACTTTAAGTTGGATTTTCTTGGCCAAATTCACTTTAATTTTRAAAATTTTAGTCAAACACAAAGGAACTAGCCTAGACGTTTGATAAGTCATATACAGTATTCGTGTCCGTGTTGTAACAGATATACAATCACTTGGCTACGCCTCGTGGTTGTATATCTGATACAACACGGCCACTCATACTGTATATATTACTAATTTTATATTTAACGCCATTTCTTCAATAGTCAATATTTCGAGCTGAAACCTGACCATCTTATTAAATTTGAGGTGCTCTTTTCATTTCTGGAGTTCATTTTGACTCATTTATTCGTTTTAAGGGGGTTGAGGTCACGTGACCTGTTAGTGCAAGTCGCCTATTGTGCGAAAACTTGAATAGAGCACATTAAAACTGGAAAGAATATGAAACAACTTGGCAAATTTCCCAAGAAACTCCAGAAAATGCGCTTTATTCTTCATGCATATGCATATACCTTAATAGTCTGACCTCGTATCCTCTTTTATTTATATTCAATTTAATATCATTTTTTGATTTTCGACAGGTTGAAGATATTTTTGACCGACATTGAACAACGGTTAGGAAGACTYCGCGATGCGAGCAACAAAAACGCTCCCAGGACTATAGACCTTGATATTTCCTTCTGGAATGATTCTCTACTTCAGTACAAGATGCTGAGAGATTCTAAGATCCAAGCCTGGTCTATCCCAGACCCTGATACCTTGAAGCATGCCCACGTGATCATACCACTTGCTGACGTCACGCCA